GTAACTTGATTTCACCAGATAACTTGAATCTTTGCACAAAACCCTAATTTGGATCCTCAAACACAAATGCTTGAATTTAATCCACATTTGTCTCCAAAATATGACACAAATGACTTGTAGATGAAGAAAAACCAACTTTATTTGACCCAGATTAGTTCACATCCATTCTGAAACAGAAACAAAACTGCACACATATTTAACTTGCTAGCTTTAAGTAAACCTGAAGCGAACGACACATGCCCATCTTGAACACAAAGGAGTACAAAACCATAAACTCCATGCTTCGTGTGCATATTGATGAAGAAAATAACCTGAGATGTTGACAATCAATAAAACCCTAGTTCCTCAGTCTCAATTAAAACTATGATGAAACCTTAATCACTTGATGTCTCTTGAGAAATCTTAAAGCATATAAACTTAATACTTGATGAATCTTGGAAAATGTGCTTATAATTATCAGAATTCAACCTCTTGCATTAATATATACTAAGCCTTGATAAGAAGATACTCACGATGATGAGAAAATAACCCTTGCTTCAAACTTGAATGAAAGTACTTCAAAGCAAATAGGAACCCTGATTCAAAGAACTGTTGTAATCCCATGTATTAGAAGACCAATGCAATGTATGATTATGAGTTATGACCTAATGGGAGATGCAGATGAATGCAAAGTGAAAGTCAGTCAAGGTTAGAAACGAGAGGGAAAATTTTGGGGTGCAACACCTGGCTTCCCCCACTTGAAGCAATTCACAATTGTGCTTTTGCACTCAAAAATGCAGTGTCCAAACTCCCCACATTTGAAACATCTCACAGAAGCAGGAGCCCCTCCCCCACTTCGCTCTTTCCCACCTGCAGATTTCTACCCAGCCTTCTACTTTCCCCTATCAGCTGGATTCCCATAAAGTTTCCCATGATTCTGATTCTTTCTTTTCTTCTCACTGAGACTCATATAATGAGTTGATTGGCCTTTTCTATCCTCATCATATATTCTTTACTTATTTACTAGCACAGAAAACTGACAGATCTCTTGATACCCAATACCTTGCTTGATCTTGGGACGCAAGCCGCTTTTGAACTTGATACACTTCAACCCTTCAGTTGCCGCACTATTATAGTGTGAGCAAAATCTCACCATCTCTTCAAACTTAGTAGTATACTCAACAACTGTCGAACTCCCTGGCTTCAGCTTAAGGAACTTGATCTCTTTTTTATTGCGCATGTCCTCGGGAAAGTAATTGTCTAGAAAGTTAGCTCTGAACACATCCCAAGTAACCTTAGTACCTTGATATTCAATTTTCTGGCACACATTATCCCACCATTTTTTGGCCTCATATAACAGCTTATGAGTACCAAAAAAACACTTTCTAGTCCTTAGTGCAGGTTATCACTCGAAAAATGTTCTCAATCTCTCTAAGCCATGTCTGAGCACTTTCTAGATCATATCTGCCCTTGAAGGTAGGTAAATTGTTCCTTTGAAACTTCCTGAATCTGCAAAATTCATCACCAGCCTAATTCTGCTGACCCTGCAGCGCCTGAGCCATCGCCTCTAAAGCATCAACAATAGCTTGATTGTTTCTTCCTCAAACCATATTTGCACACTAGTAAACAACTATTAAAAGAAACATGCACCGTTAGTGTTTATACACATGTTGCATACTAGGAAACAAACAACATTACAAAAATCTGGCCGGATGGACCAACCAGACTCTGATACCACTATGTAACACCATAAATCCAGAAATTTATATAAAAATAATTATGTAACACATTTAGGATACTACGCTCAAACAACATGTATACTTCATATTTAAATCAAAATACTCATAGCAAAATTTCAAATAATATTCATAAACTTCAAATATCTCAACAATTCTAAATCAAGATATCATCATCCAATGATTAACTTAACAACAAAATAAAACAAGATACCTCGTTCTCGATGTTACAGATCATAGCATAAACAAGGCCATCTTCCAAACTAACAACAACTACTACTCAAGTTTCTGAGTATCTATTCACTTCGTACATTAACACACAAGAAAAAGAATAAAGGAGTGAGAATACACTCAAATATGTTAGCGGTGTAAAAGATCAGGAAGGATAGCATAAATAATAGCAACAACAATCATCAACAAGTAATGTATTAAAACGACAATCATTAATTCACAAATGCAACATGTATGCAATGTCACAACACCTCAACTTTATATGCATGTGGTACCAACTCAACAATGACTCTTCATACGAACCAGGTCCTAACATCTGAACCACGATCCCCCTCATATGAGCTCCGGATAAGTCACTCATCCCATCATCTGAACTCACGACTCTCCTCTTTCACAACAACGACGAAATATGATGTATAACATACGATAATGCAAAGACAACAACACAACAATGATTACAGCCCTATATCTAACTGTAAACAATTAAGCAATTAAACACTTTAACAATAGTTCTCACTCAGAACTACACATCTCAACAGTCATCAGTAAGTATTACAACAATTCACATGGTTATACTTGCACTTCACAACATATATACACACATCGAGTAAGCTTCCACATAACACTAAATCACATCAATTCATTCATTTACAATGATTAATCGTTCGTTCTTTACCGTCAACCATTACGTAACAAGTAAACAAATTAAATTTCACATATTACGGTACTCATCTAGCTGTTATATACATCACTATGGGATATTCATACATGTCAGCTTTCCAATGCTTCAAACTGCACTTTAATTAGAGTTACGAAACTAAAGTTATAGCAAAAACAATTGGAGAAAATAATAGATTTCAGTTATATTCATGTTAACGAATTTTTCAAAAATTTTCAAGGTTTCAATTGATTACAAGGGAGGATCAATTGATTGACAAAAATTTCTGCCAAGGCTTTTCATACAAATTGAGAGAACAATAGATTAGTTTTGAGAATTAATCGTCTGACATTATTTTTATTTTCAGATTTATTCTAAATTTCAAGTGCATCAATCGATTGACATAAGGGGTCAATCGATATACATTTGCAATTTTTTTAAAGAATCTTACGTTTAACTTCATCTTCTCTAGCACTTAACTCTCATACCCCATACCAATTCATATCTCAACATCCAAACACTTCATATTATGAATATAACAAACTATATTAATTTCATAGCTTTGAAAACATATTATATTACACTGATTAATCAATCAATCATAACAAAAAGGCATAATCTACACAACTTTTATCAAGAACACATATAAACATCACCAATAGTGGAATTAAAGGAATATCTAGAGGAAAGTGAGCATGCATTTCTACCTTTCATACAATATACACCCATAGTAGAGTAATCTCCCTCTTACCTTAGATTTTCAACAACTCTAAACTTTGGTTTTGGTGATTTCCTCCCAAACCCTTGTTCTCACTTTGCTCTCACTTTGCCTCCTTCCTCTTGTCCCAAAATAATAAGTACTTATCACTTTTAGGTTCTCTAATCTCTTTTTTCTAAAAAAAAAATCTAATTTAATCTTCTAATAATTGTACCTTGCCCCTAACTTTTTATAATTCTCACCACCTACCTTATTTTTTTATAGTTTCTATTTTCCACTCAAAACCTCGATTTTCTATTTAATTTTAATATTATTTAATTATTTAATTATTTAATTATTTAATTAAATAACTAAATTTTTTTCTACCAATCCAAACATGGCATAAACATGCCAAAACACCAAATCATCAATCCAATGCATATAAAATTCATTTAGATAAATAAAAAAGTATAGATTCAATTGAATAAATAATTTAAAGAAAATAAGGTGCAAGATCAACCGAAAATATTATAAGGATGTTGCAACTTTCTGAACCACGCGTTTCTAATAAAATGTAATGTTAAATTTATGTTAACGATTATCTATTTAATGTTTATTTTCATATTAATTTATATTGTTTTTTCATTATTTTGTCATTGTTCTTAGTTATTTTGGTTTGAACTAACCTGCCATATTCTAGAGATGCATTTTTGAAACATTAAGGTTAATATAGAATTACATCTCTAGACTAAAATTTTAATAAAATAAAGTTTCTCAACACTTTGCACTAAAGAGTGTAAAAGAAATACGTTCAGAAATGTATATCAGAAGACAATTGTGATTTTTCCTTGTGGTTGGAGATCTTGGAAAAATAACCCAAAATTTTAAACTTCTCCAAAGTATTGGGTGGGTCTTTGTTGCCAAAAAAAAAAAGTTCGTTTAAATGCATGACATTTTGATATTTGTTTGGAAAGAATGGTAGTATGGTAATATAAATGGAGAAGTGTGGTAGTTTTGTGCAGAATTCTTCAATCGTAATAGGAATTCATCCCACTAAACTGACCAAAGTAGAGAGATAAAAAAGTTGAGTCCAGTTTCTTTTATCCCCTTGTGTTGAAAACGAAAAAACGAAATTAAAGGATATTACTACTTTTTTCCCATGTTCAGTCACATCACATCCCTACAAAATGTTGCCAATTAAAGATTTCATCCTAGAACTTTAGTACACGAATCCACTCATTCTCGGGCATAATCATCGGACACGGTCCCAAGAAATAGCACAACAGTATAATCTATACAAAAACCAGGGATCTTGATTCATTGCAGCCAATAACTCCTGCAGCCCTTTTAAAAAGATATCCTGCAACCAGTAAATCTAAGCAGTAGGATAGAAGATCAAATTACTCACAAACTATGGCAAATTGGAAACTTGAAATCTCAACAATCTGATATTTACGGACGGCAAAGATCATTGATTACTGTAACTGTTGACGGCATCTTTCAGTTCAGCCAATGGAAGACAAAGTGTTAAAGATGACCTAACTTAAATCATAACTAAGACACAATAAAATTGAGTAAAATTTTCTAAGATAATTGAACATCTATAATTTATACATAGCTCCAGAGCAGCATTGCAATTAGGACAGGTAGTTGGCTGATCATACCAAAACTGAAACTAGAGCTCTACAAATTAACAAGTTTAATTAGAAGTTGGTTGCTCTCCAAGCAGTTGCAATGGCCATGAATCTGCTGGTGTGGGATATCTAGCATGTGGTTTGCTGATAACAGATGTAGGGTTTGGTATGAGATCAGTAACGTTAGGAGCTGGAAAAGCAGCTTGAAGATCGGTACGAAAAGGAACAACCAAAACAGCAGGTCCTTGCTGCAATGAAGGTTCTATGGTAGGCATTTGGAGACCATATCCTGCAAATTTTGTCTGCTCTGGCAGCTCAAGCTCCAATTGAGGAGGTGCATTCAGGTCAGGTTTAGAATGAGCCATCCTTGCCTGTATCTCTCCTTGAAGCTTCTCAATTTGAGTTTCTAGGCTACTATTCTCTTCCTTCAGCTCATTTTTCTCCACAGTCACCTACCCAATTAAGCCAATCGCATGAATTAAACGCAGATAGAAGAATTTGCTTATGTGTGACATCAAAGTATACATTTCTAAAGTGTGACAAAATGCTAATAAGCTCAAGTAACTGGCCGACCGATTACACAAACAGAATGAACATCAAATCAACTAGAAAACGATAAAAGCTTTTCCCCGTACACATCAAAATTCAACATGCAGTACTCTCAACAGGGTAAAATGATGGATCAAAGAAAGAAAAAAAGTGCAAATCTTACATATTGAGATTCAGACAACAAAGAGACGTTCTCCTTCTTGAGGGACTGAATCTGACAGAGCAAGTCCTTTAGCAGCTTAGAAGCTTCACACAATATAGAGGCCTTTCCACTGTTCGGATCATTGAGATCTATCCCCATCACCACCAGAAAAGGCACATAAAGTCAAATTCGAGCAACATATCAAATGGCATATGGCATACCGAGTAAAAAGAAAAACATAACAGTCAAGTTGAATAAGCAAGCAGATACCACCATAGTAAACTTTGAGCATAGACAAAACAAGCAATAGAGGCATAAGAGTTTACCAAGAGCATTGGCAAGATCAAGAAAGAGATCGTTCAAGTGTTCACGTTTCATTTTCTCTCTTTCAGCCTTGTGAATTCTCTTGGGGACTTTCCCTTTGTTCATTTTACAAGGAGAAGACCTGAAACCAATCAAGCATACAATTAATGAATCTGTTGCCCACAAAAAACTATGCTATTAGTATTTTGACTAATTCTTTGAAGCATACAAAAATTCGTGACCACTACCACCGTCCTTCACCGCCAACACTACCAGCACTACTTACCAATAGCTATGGCCAAATAACCGCAATTGCGGCTGCAATATTGCTGATGCGGTATCCTCCGCGACCGTATTGGACCACAATTACAGTGTGAATTAAAATCATGCATTTGACCGCCAATAGAAATCACATCAAACAAATTCGCTCATATTTCTTCAAATATTTTGTATCAAAATTCAAATTTTCAGAATCCAAAATCCCAATTTACTTCCTATGTATTGGAAAATCTCAACATCAAGTGTTCTTTAACAGTATATTTTAGACACCTCCCAACTAAAATTCATGTCGCAATATACATCGCAACAACTGCAATGACCGTAGTCGCAACCCGTGCAACCGCAATTTAAAACCATAGCTAAATCTAAAAACCATTTATAAATCTCTAACCTGTTTTTTGAAGTCTCAACCATCGGAGCAATACTCTCTGATCCCATATCAACAAAACCAGTTATCCTGTCAACAATTTTCCTAAAGTAGAAAAACAAAACTACTTCAATTTCGCACCATTAATAATACTAAAAAAAACATTCAATAACAAGTAAATGGTATACACAAGAAATATAAACTACAAGGAAAAATAGAAAATATGAACAGAAAGACGAATCAACAGTGCATAATCAAATTCAACGGATCAAAAAGAAAACGATCTAATCAGGAAAAAAGAGAAAAGTGATTTTCGCTTACCAGAAAGACGAATCGGAAGGAATAGAATTGGAATATGTTGAACGGTGAATCAAGGTTGAAGGATGAAGTTGATTATTGAGAGAATACTTTGGAATCGAGAAAGAAAGCGAAACAGTTATAATTTGTGGGAAAATTAGGGTAGAAGAGAGAGAAAAGAGGATTGGTTTGTGATTAAAAAGGAAAGGAGTGTGGCGGGAGGATACCTGTCACACGAAGGCGCGTGGCGTGGTCATGCTCATTCGCTTCCATCATCTATCTCCAATGAGTTCCACACGTGATCTTTGTCTTTTCCAATTTTTTCTATTTATTTATTTATTGAAATATTTATGGATCAGTTTAAGAATAAAAAAAAGAAAGAAAACAAAATTTAGGCGATGTCATCTAAAAGATTGTTACTGATATTTTATGTAAAAAATTAGTTTAGGAGATTACTACCTTTCTATTAATTGATTAATCTAGATGTATTTTTTTTTTCTTTTTACATGAATGAAAAAAGTCAACTAAAATATTGCATTTTTGGTTATGATCTAATAAAATGCATTTTATACATCACGTGTTTATATAGGTTGGTATTTCAATAGAATTGTTCTGTTATATAATGAATTGTGTTATTATTATTAGGACTTTAACTTAAATAATTGTATGGAATCTAAAGGGACAACCCATGACAATGTAAGTCAACTAAGCACTAGAACATTAGACGGGTCTGCATCGGTTGTAACTCGAACTCAGATTCATATTTCATCGTTTATCACATATTGCTTAAGAGTGTCTAAGGGATAACAGTTTGGATAATGACAATTTAAACGAAAAATCGTCCCTCTAAAATTCAAGGAAGAATAAGTCTTGCCTGACCCAAGAAGCCCTCAATAAATACTTCAACCTTAGAGGTCGAAGATCATTTCACTAATTTCATCAAACTCTAGCATATAAAGTTTGTTGCTATCAAACACGTAAGCATACTCTTCCCTTATTGTATTTCACAAGTACAATTTGCATCCACCATGAGTCTCATTAAACCAACCTAGAGCATACTTAAATCTAACTTTCAACCGCTCAATCCACTTTCTTCAGCATGGCGACACGAAGGAACGCCGCCACAACTACCACTGCCAGCCACGACGACCAAGAAACCTTAGTAGAGATGTGTAATGTTATGAAGGAGCTATCTCGCTCCATTCAGACTTTGGGAGCGATACCATGATGATTTGAAGATAGAAGATGGGGTCGTGGACCCTTAGCCTCTCTCAGATGATATTTTGGCACTTTGATACCAAAGAATTTTAAAGTGCCTTCATTAGTGAAGTTCGATGGGAAGAACGACCCTTAGGAACACATTGTCGCCATCAACACTCAGATGTCACTCATTAGCTTTATACTTTGAAGTGCAAACTCATGTCCAAACTTTCAAGGAAACGACCATGATGTGGTTCGTGAACCTTCCCCGCCTCTCAGTAACCCATTATCATGATCTCTCTATGAATTTGGTCCATTAACTCTCAATAAGAAAGTACCTGAAGGTGTCCACCACTCGCTTGTTCAATGTGTAACACCCTAGCCGCCGCACATAAATTATCATGGAATTTGATTCAAACATAATACAACCTCAGGGTGCTATACACAACAAACACATAACCTGTTTTGTGACACGTGTTACAACAGAATAGTTTAATACACACATTTGTACCTGGAATGTTTACACGACATTGAACTCATCTGATCTGTATTTGGGATGTTTACACGACATCCAACTCCTCTTATGTTTAAGGTATCATCGCAGGGGAATCATTAATAAAACAATTAACAAAAATTTGCAACTCAGAACATCTAGTCTCTAAACGTTAACTTCATAACATAAGCAAAAGGAGTTCATAATAGTCAACTCAAAACAACTTAGAAATCTCAACAATATACATAGTCTTGAATTCAAACATAAATGACATAAGAATCAATTCAAGCGTTTATCCCCAACCTGACGTTACATGATCAAAGCAAGGCACCACTAGTCGAAGCGATAAACTAAAGAAGTAACTCCAAGAGCAATCATCTACTTACTTCAGCTATTCTACTCCTGAGTATCTGCAGGATGCCCATGTAAAGACAATATTCAAACAGAAGAGGTGAGAAATACATTCAAATAATTGACGGTGCATGAACAATCAAAGCAGATTAAATATAATATAGTTCAAACACAATCCACTATTCACCACAACACATGTATTCAAGTTTCACACACTTCACAATAATGCATAATCAATATGAAAATGTGACTCTCGACAACATCAACAGACTCATATGCATGTGGTACCGACTTCAACAATGGTTCTAATTACGAACCAGATCCCAATCAATTGCAAACCCACAGGCTTCACTCAGCAAACCCTGGACCTCACACCAAGCTCCAAGCCACAACATCAAACTTGGGACAATTACCGGTAACTAACATCGAAACCTGTAATTGCCTCTTTCACAACAATAACAACTTATGATGCATGAATGAATGTATGCATCATCATAACAACTCAACAACACAAATGGTATCACATCAAACTACATAATTTCCTGTACAACATCAACAAGATAGTTTCACATCGAAACTAAACATCTCCACTCAACATGTTATCATTATATGCATAACCATTCTTCTCATAATTACATCAACATTATCATAACAGTATCAATATAACCACATCAATCACCATACTCAACACAATAACACATTTCAATCACATATAATAATTCAACTCAATGAAATTATTAATTCACATACATGAAACTATTCTTTAACTCAACAACACACCACAACACATCAGTTACACTCATCACATATAATACATCAAGTCATACTCATACGATAGCATATTGACATTACCACTTACACAATCAACACAATCATATTCAAATAATTATTTAAAATAGAAAACAAAGTCAGAATCAAGCAAACAAATATGTTACGGAAAGCTTAGAGAGACTATTTTAAGAATATAATTTTTATTTTAGGACTTAATATACCAACTGTTCAGTTTAATCAAATTGCAAGAACAGATACTCGCATCGGGCAGAATGTTTCGACTGACTTCAAAATGGCGCCAAAAATTGTATACTTATGATAAACTCATTAAAATTTCTAGTTGAAAAGATCATTAAACCCTTTTACCAACGCAACTAACCTCATCTCAAATGGACTCACGAGACTCCCGTCACACATGAAATAAGCTGACAAATGCATGACCGAAATCACCAACGTTAATGGTATAGAAACCAGAAAACCGCTACTGTTGTAGCACTCCTAGAGCCAGTTTATTCACTTAGACATAAATATTATCGCGATAGATTTCTATCGCAACTGATGGGGCCTGAAAAACGGACTTACGAAGCTTAAAATATGCCCGAAACAAGTCGATCAATACTCTCATGCGTTTTCCTGCGATTTCCTTACGAGAATTTCACTCCTAAACTTATTTTTTTCAACTTAGACTTATCCTAAAAATACCTAACATGCCAAAATATCTTATTTTGAAAATCTATTATTATAGGTCAATTACCTACTGTTATTTCACTCTAAACCTATCAACCAACATCTAATTTCACAAAAATCGTCATAACTCTTAAAATTCATCAATAAAGCAACTCTCTACTATTATTACTTGTGTCAGACCATCAACAGGGTAATAACTTTTAACACCAAGGTACACCAACACAACTCTAAAACATATCAGAGTTACTCAAGTAATAACTCTGACAACTCTAAGGTAACAAATCCCTAACACCAAAATAGCTTATTTATGAGTTGCTAACATAGTAAGCCAATTTACCACTATCAATTATAACATACTCATCAATCTATCATGAAATAAAAAATTTAACAAATACAATCATGAATTCCATTGATCTCAAGAACACAATAACAACATGTCAACACACAAAATTGTAATTCACATCATGGCATATAAAAACAGAATTATCATTAAATTTTTCATTAACATTCATCATAACTTAGAGGAAGAACAAACCCTATATCATACCCCTATTATTGAACCAAATTCCCACCCTTAACTTGGATTTCCAGTAAGCACTCTAAACTCTTCAACAATTGTGATTTTTCCTCTTTAAGTATGTGGCTAATAAGACTAAGAGGTTCTTTGGAAAAAGATCTAGTTTCAGAGAAACAAGATCCAGGGATAACAAGGATGATGAGAAAGGCTGCTTCAACTAACAGAAGCCTAATCATTTCATAGCTAATTGTCCTGATCTTCAGAAGGATAAAGCCAAAAAAGAAAGCTCCTAGAAAAACAAGTTCAAAAGTAAGTTCAAGAAAACTTTCATGGCAACATGGGATGAATTTGATTATGAAGAAGAAGCTGACAAGAGTAAATAAAAAGTCAATCTAGCTTTGGTGGCTTCAACATCCTCAGACTTAGAATCAGAAGCTGACTCTAACTCAGATTCAGAAGATGCAGAAGAGGTATTCTATAAACTTTCTAGATATGATTTTATTGTTTTATGTCAAGATCTTATAGATAGATATTAGTAGAAAGCCAGACATATGAAAATTATAAGGAAGTAATATGGTCTCATAAGAGATGAATTAAACTTCTCTAAAAACAAGATTGAAAAACTTGAAAGAGATCAAATTGCTTTAATAAAGGATATGTATGAAAAACCTCTTAATGAGTATGAATTGACTCTTCAAGAGTTTGTCATATCTAGCTTTAACATAACTAAATTCAGATCCATAATCTATGGTGTA